GTTCTCCTAACAACTGCCTGGTTTTGCTCAAAGCTTTATATACTTGATAAGCATTTTATCATGAAGATCAGAGCAATCTTATCCTTCCTGGAAAACTACATCTAAATGCAGCCATCTCCTTCCTGGTCATGGTAAGCAGCTTCAGACTCCTACCCAATGCTTGATCCTTTTGGCGTTCAGCTCACGCTCCAGGGCCTGTGAAAGAGAACGTACTTCTGATGCCAGCACATGTCAATGGCCTACGCCACAGCTCTGCCTAAACTGTGCAGTGTCAAATACCACATCTTTGGGAGCAGCAAAAAGCAAGCAGAACAAAATCAACAACGCCTTTGTACATAAAAGCTTACAGCAAGAAATAACCCTTTATTTTCACTTTGCTAAAGTGAGAAAGCTTTTGTGCCATGATCAGGACAGCTTGACTCAATGGTGTTTTTATTTCTTAGCTTTTGCCTTGCCATCTTGGCAAAAGTTTCCCTGGTTGACTTGGCTTAAAATCTAAGGCAGGAATGTCAACGAGTCACTGACTACTACTTTGAGTTGTGTTGCTTCCAATGCCCAGTCTGGGAGATGTTAGGAGATAACCTGTTCTCTTCCTTTTCCTTTGATTTCTGCTTTAGAGAGAGGAATGGTGGAGTTTTGTCCTTTCAAAAGTGGGGGGGAAGGTATCAGGAGTCTGCTCATCCTGGACCTAAGGGAATGACTGGGAACATCTTTACCTCAGCTTTCATGTTCTGCATATCTTAAGGTTGGAGTTGAGCTGGAGGCAGGGGAAGGAATAGACTCTGCAAGCTAAAACTCGATTAGAGATGCATGGAGCATGTTTAAAGAGACCTATCTGGATCTCCTATCAAGAGCTTTTGTAATACTGCTGGTCTCTCAATGGCTTAACAGCTTTTAATAGCTGAGCTGTACTTGAGGGCTGCTGACCTTCTTGGAAAATTGTCCCACTCTCTTTAGGAGTCTGGCAGAGAATTAAGAAAATATGGCCACAGTGTCAGTGGCCACACGTGTGAAAATCTGGCTCCACATCCAGCTGGGTACGTATACACTTGCTTAAGTTACTGCCACCATAATCTGATGCCTGTAAATGGAGTCCTGAAAAAGGATCTCTCCTACCTCCAAGTCACGTAACCCTTGGACGTGTCCTTCACTGTGCAGCAGACAGAGTTGATGGTGGCTGGTGTAATAGTATCTGCACAAAGAGGAGACAGCTGGAACGCCTAT